GATCTTAGCCTCTAACCGTATATCAGTTCATTGGTTTCAGTTATGGTGTTGGTAGGGATCGTTCTCAATGCTGCATTCACATCTTCAATGAGACTTTCTGATGGTACTTCACTCAGCCGTTGTAATTGGCATCGGGGTTGTCTGGTGTTCATTCGGGCCATGATTCTGTCTCTCAGGTCAGTTGCTGCCTCGTTCAGCTCAGATGGTTCGTTCATTACTGGGGCTACATACCCAGTCTCTGGGCGGGTAGTTGTAGTTAACTCCCTTCTGACCTGGCGTCCTGGCTCCTCCCCTTTGTGTTGTACCTCGTCAATCTCAAGTTGTGATAGCAGTTGCCGTTTGCGGATGTTGGAACACTGAGCTACTAGTTGTTTGGCAGTTAGTGTCGACTGGGGATGTCGAAGTAACCATGTTAGTCTTAACCAATGTTAAGACTATAGGCCGGTAGTCATTCAGGGTCGTCACTGTGGAGCACTTGGGGACAGGGACGATGGTGGCGGTCTTTAAGCAGGTGGGCACAGATAACAGTGACAGTGTGGTGTTGAAGATGTCTGTCAACACTAGGGGTTGAACGACTACATATTTTTTAAGGTTGACTACATCATGATAATAGTCGAGTCGATGTCGACTAGTCGCGGTGACGTCATAGTGTGGTAAGCGCAAAAACCTTAACAACTACTTGGAGGCTTTATCAGCTATTTTCACGGCAAATATTGACACCCCCTTCCCTTCTCCCGCTTTTACTAAGTCCAGAATGCAGAATTAAAAGAGCAATAAACAGATCATTCTTCGTGAGCAGCGGAGAAAAGTTCGTTGCACAAAGTCGGGTCTGACTTTTCTTTTTTTTTCTTTTTTCCAAACACCGGCTGATGCTGATGATCTCTGGATAGCTACTCGTATAGGAGTCAAATTATCACACTGACCACAATGGTGCTTTTGGAACATCACAAACTAAACTTATTATGAATGGATCCCGTTTGATTACAGTTGAATTCAGCGAAGCCTCCTGCTGCTGCTCCCCGATGCGCAGCAGGACGCTCTGCTGACTCAGAGTCGGTTCGGCTCTCTGAACCGACATGCAGACGGCGGCCGAGATCGCCTCTATCAGATCCTCAGACTTAGTTTCCAGATGTAGTCAAACCATAACTTTATAAGAGTGCAAAGATCTTATAAAGATCTTTGCACTCTTTAGAAGCATAAAGATCTAAAGAGCGTATTGAAGGTTAAAAGCTTCAATACGCAGGGTGATGCTGATCAGTTGGGGGTAGTTGAGGGATAAAAAAGATTGACATCATGACACGTTGTCGCACATTACTCCGGTAGTCTTTTTTTTTTTTTTAAGGAATTTTTCGGCACTAGTTTATTTCACAGCAATCTGACTGTAAGGGGGCAGAGAGAGCGGAGCAGGGGGAGAGAGGCATGGGCCCAGCGAATGGAGGACGGCAGTCGGACTCCTGACTACCGCGGGCTAAAGTCTCTGTATGCGGGGCACCATGCTAACCACCGCGCTGCTCAACGCCCCTATTGCGGTAGCCTATGCTACCGCAATAGGGGCGGTAGCATAGGCTACAAATTACAGTTTGTAACTGTAAATTACAAACTGTAATTTACAGTTTGTCTTTGTTAAATTATTTACATTTTTATATAATTTGAGCTTTCTGACGAACTCACCTAGTCCACTTTCTTTCATTTCCTTGGAAAAATCTGTTTAGTCATGTGATTGTGACTAGTCGACTAGCCCAGAAAAAAATCATTGCAGAAAAAAGAATCGACTAGTCGACTAATTGGTGCAACCCCTAGTCAGCACCTCAGACAGCTGATGTGAACAGTCTCTCAGTACTCGTCCTGGGATGTTGTCGGGGCCTGCAGCCTTTCGGGGGTTGATTTCCTGGAGGGACTTCTTCACATATGCTGTTGTCACACAGAGAGGCGTGTCACCAGGTGGTGGAATTACTCTGATGCTGAGGGAGGTTAGGATCCTTGACGCGGGCGTACAACCTGCAGTGAGGGGTCCATTGGACATTGTGCACCCCTG